TGCCGAGCATCAATAACTCGTATCTCAAGTGCAGTCTGAACTCTAATGTCACCTGACCCGGCCCATAATTTAGCACAGCATTAATAAATGACATGATTGCCGTCTTCAGGGACAGATTGTCCTTATAGGCGCCAAAGTTTTTATCGAGATTATTAATTATACATTGGAAGCGCGTTCTCTCGGAATGGTATTGTTGGAAGTGCAACATAGCCTCTAGGACCTTGCGGTGACCTCCGGGCACTAAACAAACTGCGCCGAGGATCTCTAATACAGAAATTTTTGTCTTTATATTCTCAGTCGCCAGCGACTGTGATATCGTGTTGATTGCCGTTGGGTGCGCCAACACATGCGCTCTACCATTCTAGAAAAAAAAAAGTTAATTATGAATAATAAAGAAGAAATAACGGTACGCGTTTAGTTTCTTTCAACGAAATTAGAAATGTAAGATATTAATTAATTAGTGGTTTGCATATCTTCATTAAAAGAATATGAGAAAGTTAAATAAGTTGATTATTTGATTCTTCGATTCATAATTTATACATATCGTTAATAAATTTTTTGGGACGTTTATTACACAAGTTAGTAAAGACGGGACTCACCGAATTGTTCATTAAAGCTTTTAGACATCCTATGACACTGGTATGGAGATTGCTATTAGCCGCCTCAGCATTCATGGTCTCTAATACTTGTAAAAGAGCATTTAAACCATTTAGTTCTATAAATCTGAGAACGAAACTATGCGGCTGCGTCCTCAAAGCTGTCTTTAGGGCTTCGGCTTGGCGCATTTGATTCGATATCTCCTCATCTTCCTCTGGAAAAGGACTCTGCACAGAATATTCGATGCTTATCATATATTATTATTAGAGAAATATAAAGTTGAAAATAATTGGCGGTATAATTTTTATAACTTTCTGAGAAAATTATTAACTCTAAACAGTTTTATTATCGCGAATTTATATACGCATAATATAAAACTACATATTTCTGAAGACTATATATCTAATTAGCACACTCAAAAAATGTCTTGCTGATATAGGTAGATTTCTAGGTGTCACAACAAAAATTTATCGCTATTTTTTGTATCTGTTAGAATATTGTCTGTTACATATAGAATTTATAGCAGCAATATTCTAATAATATCTTCTAGAAAATTTAGGTCCCATTGCCAAATGTTAATCACTGCATTGGATAAATATGAGTTTCGATACTACAGCTAGAACGATCTTTGTGAGAAATATAACTGCCAATTATAACTGCAGCATCGAAAAATTGAGAGAAATTGTTTAAAAGAGCTAGATAGATTGGGCGCGTTATACAAATATGTTAGATGTGAGGATTATATATTCATTTGTTTCTTGCCGCTAATTTTTTCTGTGTACCACAGCCAAACTTTATAACAAGTATGATTGGCCTTAACATGGATAGGCGCCACAGAAAAACATTCTTTCTAAATTTCACAAACAGTTCAGATATAAATTCTGTCTCTGTCACTTAGATTGATTAAATGCGAAACATATGCGATATCACAGTATTTGCTAATCATTTATGTACCTCAGTTAATTTTGCGCACCCAGAAAATTTTTGCTGTGGTTGCAATACCACTTTTTTGAGTGCAACTTATTAGCTTGTTTAATTTTTTTTATTCTTTATTCACATTTTAGTAAGAAAATTTTTAAAGCAAAGTGCAAATGTATCGTAACTATAACAAATAAAATTTGTAATAAATAAAATTACAAAATAGAAATATTTATTGCAAATATCGATGTTATATTATTGTATACTACATCTCGATTCGGGTTAGAAAATTTCAATATATTTAATATACTAAGATTTTTTTGAATTAGAACTTTAAATACAATCTGAAATGTCGAATACATTTTATAAAAAAGTTGATCGTGTGTCGATAATTAATTATCCATTCTATTAAACAATTTTGTTCACTCACGCTCGCTATCGTCTTCAATCTATTAATATAGTCCTCGGGATCGCCGCTCAGATCGGTTGTCCGCAAGCCTCCGTTGTCCAGCGTGCCATTACCTTTTCTAGAGCAATATATCTGCCACTTTTTATTCGCCGGAAGTGCTAAAACCGCCTGTCGATTGGCTTGGGTTAAGTCCAATTCGTCGACGAGTTCGAGAAACATTTTATTTAGCTCTTCCTCGGCTGGCATTGGCAAGGTAGGTGTCATCGCTTGTAGCGTGAGCGTACCCGTGTGTTCCACAACGCAATACGTGATTTCCGGTGGCTCATCATCCTGCAAAAGAAAGCAATTGAATCAGTTCTGCATTCTGGCTGTTACAGATCATACAAGTAATATTGCACCAATGAGCATAAAAAGATATAAACTTATATATATGCTACTACTATATGTGTCTACATTGTATGAATTATATTTAAAAAATTAGTTACGCGCACATGTGTGTGTATAGACTTTCGTATAGGCAGATAGCATCGCGATCAATAATGCAACTTGCTGTTGCCGCAGTTCTTTGCGCTGTGTGTGGATTTCGCTTTCAACTAATAAAAATCGTGAAGCTTTTTATATATTTTTCCATTGAATACATTATCGTAGCGATTTGATTAAATGTTTATGAGAGAATGAGAAAGATTTACAACAATTGAGGATATAACATTAACTCTTAATTTTATTAATATATGTAAATCTTAGCATTTTTTAAATTGTCGCGTTTATAAGAGGATGTTGTCAATGATCCCACGGCCACGGTATATAAAGTACGCAAAATATATTTTATTAAGCCCCCAACACAATTTCGAAAACTCTGTAATAATGATAATTATATAGATTTAGGAAGAGATAGAGTTGCAAGCTGTTTATCTATATTTACAAATCTAATTTTGTGTAAACAGTCTTATAAAATTTCAAAATTTTATTTAAATAAATTTCAAATTATTATATAAAATGTTAAAATATGTTTCTTTTATGCATATTAAAATTTTTTTATAAAGGAAAAATATTATACATTACAAAGTAATACTGTATGCTTGATCATTATGGATTTCGAAATAATATAACCGTGCAATAATAATGTGGACTGATAATAAAATTATTATTTAAAAATTATTGTATAAATTATTATAATTAGTATATGATATATTATATCTCGTGTGTTTATATTTATATGTGTGTGTGTGTGTGTGTACATATATTAAAATGTTAACCAATTTTAATTTTTAAAATCTATTTCTATTATTATACGCTTGTTCTCATTTCGTTCTACTCGCAGCAACTCCAGTCAACAAGAAACGGCAGCAAAGGTCAGGAGCGCTGAATTCCTAAGGTACTTTCACACGTGACTAGAAAATTATTTATTCCCGTACTGGGGTCGATTTATTCTTTGTAAACATTATCTCTACGTGATTGCAAGAGATCGCATATATTACATATATGCGCGGAGGAATCGTCCGACGTTTTTCCCATAAGGATTTTACATGCGCGTGTTTGCGCCATATGAGACAGAAGCCTGCACGCACGTGACCGCTACGACACGAGGAACTACAACCAAACGTGATATTCAACTAGCGTGCACGTGAGAGAAAAAAAAATTTATACCATTAACTTACATTCTCTCTTTTTTAATGCCAATTTTGTTAAAAAATTATTTTAATAAGGAAAATTTTATTTTTGTAAAAATTGTAGAAACATTTTTATGATTTTAATATACTCTTTTTCAATAATAAAATATATTTTTTAACGCAATTTTTGTAAAAAATTGCTTTTTTTAAGCTAAAAATATTTTATTTTTCTAAAGATTTTATTTTTATATAAAGCATTGTGTTATTTTAGCTAGAGAGAAAGGTACACGAAAAAAAAAATGCTATTGTTTCAATTAAAGTCTACGTCACGGGCTGCCACAAACATATATAGTTCATTCAATGATATTTTTATTGGACCAAATATCTAGATAGTTATTTTAATAATCCAGATATTTGGTCCAATAGAAATATTATTGAATGAACTATGTATATTTGTTGGCAGCCCGTGACGTAGACTTTAATTGAAGCAACAGCATTTTTTTTTCCGTGTACAATACGCGATTTTTCATAAGAATCAATACTAACTTTAAACTTAAATAATTTCCAAACCGTTA